CTAAACTGTAACAGGATTCAGTCATCCCTTCATCCCTGGTTGGCTCCCCTCTTAGTCATCGGTTTCTTCTTCCTGTCTCCTACTTGTGACCTTATAAATCTCCTGCTTACCTTAGGCCTTGTATATTTCCTGGGTTACTGTCCATTTCTCTCCTCCTATCTTGATAATAACTAGTCCAGCTAGTCCAGGAATCCCCTGGCCTCCAATGGTGGTGGCCACAGTAAAAGCCTTGGACTTAAGAGAATGAAATAAACAAACTGGAATCCAAGGAGCCTGAAATTCTAGCTGAAGCCTGGAACATGGGTCTGAAACTGGTTTGTCATTATTCTGGATAAAAGAACCCCCTGTCACCACAGAGGAAAAAGGGACCTCAAAACAAAGGCATTTACTTGTTGCTAACCTCTAAATTTTTACCTGCTCAAGGTCAACTTCTCCGACCTAGACAACAATCCATAAAGTTACCTCTAATTCCCAATATTAACCTGTACTCTTAATTTGTTTCCTGATTCTTTAGAACAGTTTTGGCATTCATCCCTTTCTTTTAGTAGACACCCATACCGAGCTAATTTTCACCTGTAGGACCACACCATATCCAAGCTTTAACCCTAATATTGGCCCCTCAGCTCTGAAGCTCATTTGTAACTAGATTCCAAACATCTCTTCAGTTTATCCTCAATACTGACCATGACAGTGGACTGAAACCCCTAAAATGACTTCTAACCTAATTCCTTCCTTAACCTAGTCATGTACATTTTTACTCACGCTAGCCACTTACTCAGAAAACAAGTGATTTAAATGCCAAACTAAACCTATTCTAAACGTCTGTCTAAACGTCACCTACACAAAACGGACCTGACACAACTCAAGGTTTAGCCTAACTTCTAGAGTGACCCAACACAACCTAATCCCAAACTTACCCAAAGCTTTGCGAACTTACAGACCCGCTATCAGCTAACCCCAAAGCCTACCCCCGCCCTGTGCCTCACTCCATCTCATTTCTCGCCCTCCCCAAAACCTGTCCCAGGCGGAGAACTGCTCCCAGAAAAGGGCTTGGGCTTGCTTCTCCCCAGATGGCCTGCTTAGCTCCAGGCCTCAGTCGAGACACACTGGACCCTGACCTTTCAAACGGAACTCAAAACAGAACACGCAGGAGAGTCGGGGACCCCGCCCGCCCGCCCGCCCGCCTCCCGGGCCGGGCCCCACGGCCCCACCCCGAGGCTCCAGCTCGGCCGGGTCAGGCCTACCTGCGCTGCCCGGCTCTGTGCCCCGCCCGCTGGCCCGCTATCCCGCTCGCTCTCAGGGTCGTTCTCCGGCTCCGACCTCGCACTCCCTTCGACACTCTCGGTCACTTCCGTCCCGGGATCGTCCCCCACCCGCGGGCGGCGCCCTGGGCCCGCGCACTAGGACCGTGGAGAATGCAGGAAGCTGCTATGGCCCCGGCTCTCGGCGCTCGGGAGCCCGCCGAAGACTCGCAGCCCCTCCCCGGCAGGAAGCCAGGGTGCGGCGAATCCGGAGTCAAGCCCGCACGACGCCCGAGTTCCCTTTCAGGCTCTTAATTCTTCCTTTTTCTAGCTCGGGGCGCAGGCGGAACCGGATCCCCCCCGAATCCCCGCCCTGGGGGTGGCGAGGAGGCCACAGGGACATCCCCGTCATTTGCATAGCCTCCGGGACGTGGCGCCAAAAGGCTCCGAGGCCACTTCCGGAGTCGGCACGGACTACAAGTCCCAAAATGCCACGGGGCCGGGAGCGTCACTTCTGTTGTGTTGGAGGCTGAGAAAAATCCTGGCTAGGAGGTAGCTCCGGCTGCTGAGCCTCCGCTAGGCCCCCGGCGGGGCAGGCCCCCCCCACCTCTCCGAAGAGGGAACCGAGGTGAGGGGAGATGGACACTTAGACCGAGGGTCGTGCCTGGGAGTCGGAGGCTGAGCCCTGTGAAGGCTTGAACGCGTTTCTGCTCCTCCTTTCCATAGATGTCCCAAATGGAGATGACATTGGATTCTGATGACCAGGACCTGCTGGGCTTCCTGCTGGAGGAAAGCGGAGGTTTGTGGGCTGTGCCTGACCAGGCCGTGGAGGCTCCATCCGATGCGGCCGTGGAGGCTCCGCGGGACTGGGCGCTGTCACCTTCTGAGGTGGGTGGGCCTTCCGAGTGGGGAAGCTCGCCGATCGGTGAGATTGGGGAGATGAATCAAGGCCTGTGAATTTGTTAGAACTCCGTGCAGGCTCTGAGCGACTGGGAGGTAGAGGATTTGCTGAATTGCCTTCTGAGCCCCCAAACATCTTCGGACGTTCTCAGCTCTTCCGACTCATCTCCAGTCCACCACGATCACACCTACTCCCTCCCACAGGAACATGTCTCCACAGATCTAGGTAAGTCTAAAATAAGTGAAATTTTTGGGGAAGGCCATAGCTGACGGGCCTGACTAGTCCTACTTTCCCCTTTGCAGACAGTGGCAGGTGCGGAAAGGAGGAGGCCTGGATGACGCCACAGCAGGTAGAGGAGCCAGCAGAGCAGGTACTTGATTTGGTCTTTAGGATTATTCATTCCCACATGACATGGGTGGAGCCAGGAATCCTAATTCCTCTCTGAATCCGACGCAACTCTACTACTCACTTCCCCATTACTCCCAGGAGATTGCTGGGCTGATGCTGACTGAGGAGGAGAAGAGCCTTTTGGAGAAGGAGGGGCTTATTCTGCCCGGGACACTTCCTCTCACTAAAGTAAGGCTCTCTATGGTGAAGCAAAGGCTGGAGGGAGATTGAGCTCCAAGTAGGTTCATATCATGTCAGTTACTTGGAAAAGGACCTAGATTGGGAAATTTGCCAAATTTGTTGCTAATAGGAAACTAGGTAGGTCAGTATGCTAGTGTGGCTTGCATGTGTTGAAACACTTGGTTTTTGGAGCACTCAAAGAGAAGCTGAATGTCTCTTCATCAGGGAAGCTGTAAAAGGAATTTCTGCATTGGGAAGATTGAGTACAAGTCACCTTCTGATTGCTTCATCCAATTTCCTGATACCCCTTTTGTCTCCATTTTCTCTCAGATGGAGGAACAAATTCTAAAAAGAGTGCGAAGGAAGATTCGAAACAAGAGATCTGCTCAAGAGAGTCGCAGAAAGAAGAAGGTGTATGTAGGGGGTTTAGAGAGAAGGTAGGAAAGGGAGAAGGAAAAAGAATTACTTGGAAACATTAAGTTTTCAAAGGGCTATAACCCCTATAAACCTGTTATCTATCACTCAGGGTTTTGAAATACACAGCCCAGAATCAGGAGCTACAGAACAAAGTACAGCATCTAGAGGAACAGAATCTGTAAGCAGCCCTCCAAATCTTCCCCTTTAATGTCTTTAATCCTCCTTTAATCCTGCTTACTCTTGATTTCTAACTGGGTAGCTCCAAATGTAAGGTCTGGTACTTGGTTCTTACTGAGTCTGTGATTCCAAGAAGCTCATAGTAATGGGGAGTAAGTTTATAAGCAGCTAAATGTTTAGTACCAAGAAAGAGAAAGGGCAACAAAGAAATACCTCATGGAGCAGGTAGGGTGAGAACAGTAAGAGTGCTGGGTGAGGAAAGCATTTGGGTTAGAGAATATAATAGTTGGATTTGGCTGGAACTCTAACACAAGATGAGTTGGGCCAGAAGATGGGAAATGGAGTACCTGGTGAGGAGTTTATGCATAGATGATCAAGCATTGGAGAACTATTGAAGGAGAACTACAAAGGAGTTTAAGACAGGATAGAGAACTTACTTTTGTTTTGTTTTAATGAGGAACTTCAAGTATTCTGTCCACAGTGAAAAGTAATCATTTGCAGAAATGGGAAAGTAAGAAACTGAATCCACTGCACTGATGGAGCAGGTGGCATTAACATGGGGGGTTCATTGTGGTTCAGGATGCCAGGTTGGGGGATAAGGCCTAACCACTGTCCCTTTCTTTCTTTAGGTCCCTTCTAGATCAGTTGAGGAAACTCCAGGCCATGTTGATTGAGATATCAAACAAAACCAGCAGTACCAGCAGCTGTGTCTTGGTGAGGATGGTAATGGGAGGAGAGATCTTTATAGGTCGTCAGGACTGGGGTATGATCTAGAGCCTTTCTTCATCTCCTTTTTTCCCTGTACTCTAGGTCCTACTGTTCTCCTTCTGCCTCCTTTTTGTACCTGCTATGTACTCTTCAGACACAAGGGGGAGCCTTCCAGCTGAGAATGCTGGTAAGACTTAAGGATACCTTTAAGGCATGGGTTAGGGGAGAATCAGTCCTGCGCTCTTTCTTGATTGTCTCCTGACAATTCTTGTCTCCTCAGTGTTGTCCCGTCAACTTCGTTCCCTGCCCAGTGAGGACCTTTACCAAATGGAGATGCCTACCCTGCAGTCAGAGGTACCAAAGGACAGCACAAGCCAGTTGCTGTACAGCTCAGATCATGTGTTCCAAGCCCCTGGCAACCTCTGCCTGCTGTACTACATGCCTGAAGCTCCTCAGGCTGCACTTCCCCTGCAGTGGAGGGGGAGTGACCTCTTCTCAGAGTCCCCCTGGCCAGGTCCCATTCTTCTCTTGCAGGCAAATGTCACAAAAAATGGTGAAGGGCTCCTCACCTATAGCCCCTCATCAGTCATCTTGCAGGGAAGATACTCAGGTTAGATATAAGGATATGAGGAATCAACAAGAGCCTGGGGGACTCCATCTGTGTTCAATGAATGGCGGAAGAGGGCTAGTCTTTGCTTCTATGCCATTAGGATGCCTGAGGGCTCAAAACACACTACACTTGCTACTGGCTTTATGGATTTTTTTATTTGTATTTGTGTGTCTATTGCCCTATGAATGGCGGCACCTGGGGAAATCAAATGACTGAATATTTCATGCAGTGAGGGAAGGGGATGGAAAGAAATAAATAAGTGATTCTGATTCCTGGATCACCCTCAGCCCCTCTTTACTGGCACAGTTGGGTGGGGCGAAGGGAAGGGGCATGATTGTCCTGGAGGCTCAGGGCTGCAGGAGTTTGGGGGGTGGGGTTTAAAGGAGAAATACCAGGTTCATTCTGGACTTAAGTTTGCCAAGGCTCCCTTTGGTCCACATTTAGGCCTTGGGCTTAATCCCTTGCTCTGTTCAATTATTGGCCTTCCATCTTTTTTCTGCTGCTGCTGTTGCAAGGCCAGCTGCATAGCCCAGATGCTCAGTGGCCGCATATAGGCCAGTGAACGGAAGACTCGCTGCTGGCAGTATGCCTCTGGAGTCTGGAAAGCCAGGCCTAGACGTTCCCACACAGTGCGATAGCAGCCTTCAGCTGTCTGGAAGCCCTCCCAAGTCAAGCCCTGTGGGGAGAGACGGAGGTCAGAGATATAAATAAGCATCACTACTTCAACTGGAACGATAGACATAGTAAGGTCTTTGCTCTCAGGGAGCTCTTCGCTGGTAGGGGATAGAAACTTGATTATAGACAGAAATTTGAAGTAGGAGGTGGAATGCATACCAGGGAAAAAAAGGTTAAGGCTTTATGGATGGATAAGATGGCACTGAAGAAGTTTGGTAGCTGAGGAAGGTACAAATGATAAGGAGATGGGGAAGGAAGTACATTACCTCTTGGATCATGGTGGCTGCCAATCCATAGACCACACCCACCCAGACTTCATCAGACTGCACACTGGATCTATCAGGGACACCATGTGGCTGCATCCCATTCACAGCCCCCATGGCTCCCCCGGCAAAGGCCTGGACATTGAGCTCAAAGATGGTTTGGAGAGCACGGACCACATGTGGAATAGGAAATACCTGAAGGAACCAAGGGCAAAGACAGAGATTTATTCCCGTGCACTTCCAACCTTTGGGGAGACCCCACCTTTCTGGTTCCTCACCTCAGTGTCCCCTTCTCCTAGTCCACAGGCCCTCAGGAACCACTGTCCAGCACATTGGTCAGACATGACGCTACGAGACTGAGGATGAGAGCTGCTATCATAGTTGTAATAGCGGCCTGGAGTAGAGGAAGGTCAAAGTAAGGCTCTTGGTGTCCCTAAGACTGTAAGCTCTTTTACTCAGAACTGGGTGCTGATGGCTCATGCCTATAATCATAGCTACTCGGGAGGATGAGATCTGAGGATTGTGGCTCAAAGCCAGCCTAGGTAGGAAAGTCTATGAGACTATTACCTCCAATAAACCAACCCTTCCTAAAAAGACAAAAGTAGAGCTTTGGTTCAAGTGGTAATACTAGCCTTGAGCAAAAGAATCTAAGGGACAGGACAGTGCCCATGCCCTGAGTTCAAGCCCCAGGACTGGCGCGCGCGCACACGCACGGATGCACGCACGCGCACGCGCACACACACACACACACACACACACACACACACTCCTTAGAGTCTCCCAACTCACCATTCCATAGAAGTCTTTCATAGGCTTCTTGGCCTCTGTTAAGAATGGAAGAAAACTTATCCCGGACATCCTGTGCTCCACACAGAACAGCCATCTGGACCATCACAGCCACAGCTGCCAGCCACAGCCCTCCACAGTAAGCACTAATCAGGGGTAGGAATTTTAAGGGTCAGATGGAAGCTCCAGCCACTCCCACGCACTCTAACAGACAATAAGTCATTCTCTCGAGCACTACCTTCCCTTAGTGCTCACCTGAGACCTGGAAATCCTTACCCCTCTTACCTGGGGCCTGTGGTAACCCATCCATCATAGGTCTGGTCTGCATAGCCTCCATTCTCAATGAGTCCATCTTGGTCCTTGTCAAACTTCATTTCAGACTCCATCACAGCCTAGAGAGGGACAGAGACACTGAAGACCTGAGTACTAAGAGTAGCCAATGGGGTCTCCTCAGACACTGGTCATGCCTAGGAACATTGCACATGAATCCCTTACTAGACACACAGGCCACATGTCCTTCAGGAAGTCTTGGTCACCCGTCAGGTAATAGTCCCGATACACCTGCAGCACAAACTTCAGGTTCAGGTCCTTCCAGTCAGCAGTATCATGAATCAAGTATGCATTGACTCGGAGCCAGGGCTCATCATCTGTAGGAAGGGAAGGCACCTGGTTCATCCACATTGGTGGACAGGGTACAGGTCAAGAAAGCTGACCTTGAGGTAGAGAGACCTTCACCTGGGTCCCCGATGTCATGGGGGATGACATTTCTTCTTTTCACAGGTGCTATCACTCCACTCATCAGGTACCGTCGCCGAGTCAAGTCCTCCCTGAGGGTTGCCAGAGCTGAGGGAACAGACCATAGAAGCGGGTAGAGAAAGACAGGAAATGGGCAGGCTTAGGGTAGAGCACAGAGCTGTGTATGCGTTGTGACCCCAGAGGGGAATCAACAAGAAGCATGCAGATGTCTGGAAAAGGATAATAGACATAACCTTGGGGCCACAAAGCTTCAGGGGCAAGGGGAGCTTAAGAGGGCAGAGCAATATGAATGTTAATCTCACCTATGTCATACTGTAAGCTGAGCTCTAGTTTGGGCCAGAGCATGACGAGGGCAAAAGAAGCATAAAAGTGGACATCGTATGTGTTGTACATGCGATACTCCTGGCCTGGAAAAACGAAAGAGATGCTGCTGCCAGGCTCCTGCTTCCTCTTCATAGCTTTCCCCCCCACCCAAGTTGGAGGTGGGGTGCTGTCACCAGTCCACAGTTGCCACCTGCCCCCTCCAGTACCCTGGGGTAAGCAAATCTGTCATCTTCCTGATAGTAGGACATTTACTGGTTTCAGGAGTATGGCATTCCATCCCTCTCTCCCCCCTGCCTACCAGCAGCCCATACCCTCAAGATAGCCAAATCGACCATAGTGCTGGAGGATGGGGCGAAGCTGATGCAGACTTCCTCCCAGCTCCTCTGGTAGGGAGTCGTCAGGGACTTCCAGCCATACTGTGCCACCATCGGCCAGGAAGTACAATTCATTGAACAGTGCAGACTTGTACCATGCAGGCAAGGATCTGTGGATTCAGAAGGAAGGAATGGACCTATGTGAGTATAGACCTCCCAAGATAGAAAGGGTCCTGGGGTTCAGTGGAATGGAGAACACCAAGTGAATCCCAGCCCAGCCCTATTGACTTGATAAACAGTGGATCAGAGACTCCTTAGGAATGAGTGCCCAGGACGAAGGAAAAGAATTCCACTGCACCTGTCATCCAATACTGGGTTTTGCCAAGCTGAGATCCTGTTTTCCCAGTCTGTATAACGGCAGAGGGCATAGTGGCTGAGAGCAGGGGCTGCATCACCATCTTGGCCAAAGAATCTTGTGTACCATCTGCAAGAGGGCAAGAAGGGATGAAAATACTTGCTCCAGGTCAGAGCCTCAAAACCTTGAACTGTTATACTTTCTTGGTCTCACCTGTAGTGGACTTGGCCCCTAGCTCCAAACATGATCCTGGGCATATCCCAAGCCAGCGAAAACTCTAGGCAGCATCGACCTCGAGGTGGTAGCTTGCTGGAAACACATACAGCCCCAGCAATGCCTGCTCCTTTCTGTGAAGGGGTGCTTTGGCCTGAGAAGCACAGAGGAATGAAGACAGGCACTCTACCTCCTCAGGACTAGAGCTCCCTAACTTGTGAACTGGCCTATTCATGATCAGGTCTCCCACCCCTGGTCCTTAGACAGGGACAACCTTTTTTCCCAACAACTCCCAGTCAGACCCCCCATCACCAGCAGGGGAGTCCAGCTGTCCATCCTCAAGTAGGTCCTGCCACACCTGCTGCCCAGTGCTGTCAGGGTCAAAGGCCGTGATGTGGGTTACCGTGGTATCTGCCTGTTAAGGGACAAAAGACTGACGTACACTCAATTCAGACTAGCTTTCCAGCTCCTCTTAGTGCACCCCCTGAATTCTAGATGCTGAAGGACTCTAATGAGGAGGCACTCAGGAGTTTAATGAAGAGACTATGATGGGGTCGTAGGAGAGCTTGGGGTTGGACAGAGTTTAAAGCTCAGAGGGATAGGCTCTTCCATTACCGTGAGTCGTGCAGCCACAGCCATGGTGTAGGGATTTGGCAGAGTTGGATGATGTAGCAGCAGTCCCTTTACAGTCTCTCCATCCCGCTCCAGACAGAAGGGTTCATTCCACAGACCGCCTGGGGCATCGTCTCCACCCCCCAGTCCATTCCGCATGGAGAACATAATGGATACGTCCAGAGCTTCATCTCCTTCATTTTCTACATCCCATACAAAGACTCCTACAGGCAGGCTGCTGTCCTGGGGGCAAAAGATTGGACTCAGATGGTCCTAGATATAGCCTCTCTTGATCCCACTCTTTGCCAAGATCAGTCCTAGACACAGAAGACCTGAATCAAATACTCCTCAATATGTACCTCCCTTGTTCCCAAATATATTGCCTACCATAGGACATGGAAGACTAGATCTAATTAGACAGTGGTCCTAGAAAGCCAGTGTGATATTTATGGTGCCAACACCTCCCTTGAATAGGTGGGTAGAATTTGGGGCAGAGGTGGATCTGGGGGAGGGAAGACAATAAAGCCAACACAGAAAGAGGTGCCTCACCTGATAGTCATGGGGCAAGATGGGTGTGATCTGACGGCAAGTGAGGGTGACATTCTGACCAGGAAGCTGATAAACAGTCCAGGCTCGGGGATAGAGGGCGTGGTAGAAAGCAAAGTGTCCACACAGGCCCCAGTTCCAGCTGCGTAGGACACTTGGGCGCTCCAGGGACAGAACTTGCTGGTACACAGTCCGTCCCTCCCGACGCAAACACACTGTGAACTTGATCAAGAGGGCAGACAGGCTGGAACAAGTAACCCACAGGCACTACACACCATCCTCTCTTTCTTCAAAGCAGCTCCTCCCTTTCTAGAGCCTATGATTGGAACCATAAATCTCCAGTCTCATGTCATCCACATGCTCCAAGCTTAGCAAGCACACACACACACAAGTCCTGCTGTCTTTCCTCAACCTAGCTGCCAGACTGCATCTCCCTTCACTGCTATGGTCTCTGTGTCCTAATCTGCTGTCTCTGCTTTTTTTTTTTTTTTTTTCATTCTTGGGGTTGAACTCAACCTTGCATTTATTAAGCAAGTGCTCTACCACTTGAGCCATGCCCTGAAACCATGATCCTTCTACTAAGCAGGGTCTCCAGTACTTTTTGATTGAGATTAAATCTCACTAACTTCAAAATGTCTGGTATGGCTTCTAACTGCAGTCCCCTAATCTCTGCCTCCTAAATTAGCTGGGATTACAGGTGGGAATCACTATACTGGATTTGCCCCTTATCTGGGTAGCAGAATCCTTTCCCTCTTCCCCCTCCTTTTTCCCTCTTTCCTACTCTTCCCTCTCTCTCTCCCTCTCTCCCTCACTCTCTCTGTCTTCCCCCGTCCCCCCCCCCCCCCCCCCCCCGCCTATGGCGGTAGGGGGTGGCTCAGGACCTCCTAGCCAGGCACTCTACTACTTGAGCCATTCTGCCAGACCAAATATGATTTTTTTTGGGTCCAGTCATGGGGCCTGAACTGTGGGCCTGGGCTCTGTCCCTCAGCTCTTCAGCTCAAGGCTAGCACTCTACCACTTGGGCCACAGTGCCACTTCTGGCTTTTTTCTTTTTGCTTATGTGGTGCTGAGGAATCGAACCCAGGGCCTCATGCATGCAAGGCAAGCGCTCTACCACTGAGCCACCTTCTCGGCCCCAAATATGATGTTTTTGTTTGGTCTTTTTTTGGTCTTCTCTTTTTTGGTACTGGGGATCAAACCCAGGACCTTGCACTTAGTAGTGCTTTGCCACTGAACTGTACATCCCAGCCTCAAAGTTGATATTTTTGATAGACAAATCAAGGCATGTCACTGACTCCCATGGCTTTCAGACTAAAGCCTGAACTCTCTCATCTGGCTTTCAAACCGCTTCTTGATATGGTTTCTATCTCTTCAAGTGCCATTTTGCTGGTTACATTAAATATTACTCTCTCTCTCTCTCCCTTTTTTTTTTTTGTCAGTTGTAGGGTTTGAACTCGGGGCCTGGGCACTGTTCCTGAGCTCTTTCACTCAAGTCTAGTGCTCTACCACTTGAGCTACAGTGCCACTTCCGTTGTCTGGTGGTAAATTGGAGATAAGAATCTCATGGAATTCCCTGCCCAGGCTGGCTTTGAACCATTATTCTCAGATCTCAGCCTCCTGAGTAGCTAGGATTATAGCATGAGCCACCAGTGTCCTGCTTACTCATTTTTTAAACACACTACATGTCCTCCTTAATGCCTCTTTGCCCTACTCATTCTTCATTCTGAGATTCCGCTCATCCTTCAAATGCCAACCTGCTTTTTTCTCTCTAGTTATTCCAGTAGCCCCCTACCCTGTTATTCTAGCATTTGGTGTATTATGTCAGAGTATATTGCCATTCTGTTTCTCTAATTGACTCATGGTTACTTTTAAGGCTACTTTCTAACTTATTGAAGAGGTGCTCTGCAGAGGTGGCAGGTATGTGAAATAAGCCACGCCTCTATAACATTGTCTTTTTCCAGTATATGGTCTCAATTTAGCAGTGACCTGGCCTCTTGTCCACATTTCCCTAATTTCCTCCCATTTCCCCAGTAAAATCTAAAGTTCTAGAGAGTAGCAGCTATGAGGAATTAGTATATCTTTACTTAGTTGAAATCATGTTTTCTATTTTATGCCTGTTTTTTTTTTTTGGATATAATTCCTTCCTTCATTTCCTGTTGTTTTGGAGGACAGGATCTTGCTGTATTTGGGCTGACCTTGAACTTGAGATTCAACTCCCTAGGTGCTGTGATTATAGATTTAGGCCACCAAACAGAGCCATACAATAACTTTTTGCATTCTTGGAGCAGTACATAATGGTTAAGTACCTTGTTGTTAAACTAATGGTACACATAATGGTTAAGACCTCAGACCTTTTTCCCATAGAGAAAAATGGTTATGAATTCCAACCCTTCCTTTTACCAATCATGTGACATTAGGCAAGTAACTAGCATTCTCTGGGGATTAAGCTTCCTTATCTGTAAAATGAGCATAATGGTACTTACTTTGTAGAATTGTTTTTAATATTAAATAAAAAGCTTATCACAGTGCCTAGACATATTAAGCATGAAATAATTACTTTAACTGCAGAGTCATGATTCTGGAAGGCATTCGCCTTGAAATACCCAAGGGATGAGACAGAGTTCTTAAGAGTTCTGGGCAGAGCCAGTAAACCTGAATTGGGAAGGGCAGCGTCACCAGTAGGACTTAACATCTGCTAGTCATTTTTCCTTTGAAGATGAGCTGAAAGCTGGAGGCATCTCTCAGATACTCAGCAGATAACATGAAAAGGAGGTCATAATAAAAGAAGCTATAATGAAAACCAGGTCATATATACAACTTAAGGCCCAGATGTGATGTAGGAGCAGAAGGGGAAAAAAAATTGAAGCTTCAGAAAAGGGAAGAGACAGACATGGTGGTAAATGCTTATAGTCCCAGCCATTTGTGAGGCAGGGATCAGGAGGATCAAGGGCTGGCCCCCCAAAAAAAGTTAGTGAGACTATATTTTAACAAACAAGCCAGAGGTGGAAGTAACCATCTATTTCCAGCCAAGAGGTGGTGTAGGTAGGAGGACTACTGCAGTCCAAGACTGGCCCTGGGCAAAAAGAAGACCCTATCTGAAAAATATCTAGTGCTAAAAAAGGACTAGGAATGTGGTGGCTTAAGTGGTAGAGTACCTGCCTAGCAAGCTGAAAGATCTGAGTTCAAACCACAGTGCCACCAAAATTAAAAGAATAAGAAAAAGGTAGTCTAGAAAGCTAAACTTGGGAGAGGAGAGACTTCTTGGGCTCTAAGAAGAAATCTTCAGAGAAATGATCCCCATATAGGAACTGACCTTTGACTAAAGTTTGCAAGTCAAGGGTGAGGAGGACTGGCTACACTTTTTTCTTTCTTTTCTTTAAAAAAAAAAAAAACTCCATGACTTTTGTTTTCCCTATGACTTTGGTTTATTTTCCTTTCTTGGTCCTGTCAGTATTCTTTCAACCAGTTAAATGACCTCTGTGGTAGGTAGATATTGCCTTAGATAAGAGAGTTGATAAGGGGCATTTACTATACAATGATAGAATGGGCTCTGTGTCTTAATCCTATTATATATCCTAGCGTAGAGCTGGACACACAGAAAGCATCTGAAAGTATTTATTGAATTATATATGTCAACTGTCTTATCTTACATTAGCAATAGAGGACCAGGCCCTTCTTTGCCTGGATTTGTCCTCTACTTCCTAGCTCTTACTTGGTCAGCGATGACTGTCTGGTGCTGATACAGTCCAGGGTTAAGCTGCCAACGACAGAACTGGCCTCTCCAGCCACGGGTAATTGTGCCTCCCCCAATGCCACCCAAGGGACAACCTAAAGAAAATCAGGACAGACAGTGAGGTTTGGGAAGAAAAAAGAAAAGCCATTTTTTCATTTTTAAACCATAAAGATTTCACCAAAAACCAAGGAAATGAAATAATCCAGTTTATAGAAACTATAAGTAACTGTGTAACTAATTGTGCCTAACTCTTCTGCAGGCATAGCTGGGTGAGGCTCACCGTAGATCTGTCTCAGGGGTATGGAATTGATCATGTCAATGAAAGGTTTCTTCTTTTCCACTTGGGTCTTCCGGTACCACCACTTCAAGTACCTGAGGAGCAAGCAGTTGTATGAGTGAAAGGGGGTGAGTGGGCAGACCCTCACAGGCTGTAGTCATTTGTGTTTTTCTCAGCATCCATTTGTGATGCCCCTTCACCCCTACCCACTAAATGTTCCAAGGATGTCAGGTAACAAAAGCACATGTTAGAGATCTTAACTTGGAAACACAAAATGTAGTAAGGACTCACCATCTTGGCTTTCAAGCCTCAATTCTTTTTTTTTTTTTTTCCAGTACTGAGGTTTGAATTCAGGTCTTTATCTTTGCTAGGCTCTACCACTCAAGCCATGTCACTAACCCTTTTTGTGCTGTTTTTATGACAGGATCTTGCTTTATGGCCAGGCTGGCTTGGACAGCGACCTTATCTGCAATTTTCCCACATAGCCAGGGACATATACCACATAGCTATCCACTCATCTGGTTAAGATGGGAGTCTCAGAACTTTTTGCCCAGGCCTGTCTTAAAGTGCGATCATCCAAATGTCCACCTCCCAAGTAACTAGGATTACCAGCTTGACCTTGGAGCCTTGCCTCTCCCCAGCATGATTACTCTACAGTTCAAAGTCCCTTCACCCTCCCAGTTGCTCTTACTGCTCTCAGTGTAGGACTGCCTTTGTTTTTCCTCTTTATTCTTCTCAGAAGGAACTTTATGATCTTTGTTTTCTACCTCCACTACCACCGCTTTGGCTTGGACCTCAAGAGGTTTAGTCTGAGGCATAAGAAGGACCAATTATACTTTCCTGGCCTGTATCTTCCACACCTACCCTCTACCTACCAAACCAGCCTTTATTGCTCAGTTAACAGGTTTTTTTTCTTCTTTTTCTTCCTCTTCCTCTCCTTTCCCTTGCCCCTTCTTCTTTTTTCCAGAAACTTTGGGGGGTTTTTTTTGTTTTAATTTTTTGTTGTTGTTGTTATAAAGGTGATGTACAGAGGGTTACAGTTACATAAGTCAGGTAAAGAGTACATTTCTTTTTGGACAATGTCACCTCTTCCCTTGCTTTCTCCAAGTTTTTCCTTCCCATCCCACCCACAAGTTATATAGTTCATTTTCAATATAGTGTCTAGTGAGTACCACTGCTGCATTTGTTCATCCTTCGTCCCTCCATTTCTGTATCCTCCCTTATGATCCCAAAGACATATAAAGGAACAAACAAGACAAAAAGGAAAGAAAATTAAAACAGCAACAAAAAAAACCTTTTGCTTCTATTTCCTGGAGTTCATTTTGATAAATATTATTTTATATGATCAGATGTACATAGGAGCTTTCTTTTTTTAAAAAATTACTATTTTTCGGGGCTGGGAAGGTGGCTCAGTGGTAGAGTGCTTGCCTTGCATGCATGAGGCCCTGAGTTCGATTCCTCAGCACCACATAAGCAAAATGAAAAAAGCCGGAAGTGGCGCAATGCTCAAGTGGTAGAGTGCTAGCCTTGAGCTGAAGAGCTGAGGGACAGCGCCCAGGCCCAGAGTTCAGGCCCCATGACTGGACCCAAAAAAAAAAAATTACTATTTTTCTTTCTGATTATGAAAGATGAAAATTAGGAGACTATACCAGGAAGAAGAAGAAAAATCATTTCACTCCAAGAGAACTAATGTTTTATATTTTAGGTCATTTCCTCCTAAGTCTTTTGTTTCTTCCTGTCCCTAGTTTAGCATTTAAATTATAAGCTTTTAGATTTTTCTATAAAGAGCAAAGCCTTCTGCAAATCCTAACATCTTCGCATTCTTACCTCCCTCTCTACCCTGGATCCAATAGGTTGGGGCTGTCCAGTAGGTAAATGATTCCATTTCCAAGGCTAGGACTCCTACTCTATCCTGCCTTCTAATCCCTACAAATTCTTACTCAGGATTGGTCACTAAGCAAGGCCTGCTTTGCCTGACTCTTTCCTACTTCTCTCCTCCCTACTTATTTTATTTCCAGTGTTCAGTCACATTGCTTCTACCCAAGTAATTGAGTATAAGTAACCTTATGAGTCTGTTTCCTCATCTACAAAATGTGGATTCCTCTTGCCCTATCTTAATAGAATGACTGAAAGATCAAATGACATAATAGATAAGAAAACCATAAAACAGAAGACCAGTGACAGGTATAATTATGGTATGTACAGTATCTCAATTCCTAGTCAATCACTTCCTTGTTAGTTCAGTGTTCCTCATGTGAGTGTGACCAATTTTTAAGTTCCTTGGGGGAAAGGGCTAGTGACAAAGACTAGTTGACAGTTACCCTCAGCTCTGAGTACAGGCCATGTGGTCAGCAATCCATAAATACTTGCTAAATTGAATGAATGTATAAACACTAGAACACCAAAGCAATGGAAGACAAAGTACAAGAAAGGGGAGTAGAAATGTGATTTAAGAACAGAGGCAAAACATTCTGCAGGTGGGAGAAAGGCCAGGAAGGCAAAGAGTAAGATGATAGGTGGTCATTGTAAGGAGATGTACAAGACACTATGTTGAAAACTAACTTTACAACTTTAGATGGGGAAGGGGGGAAAAAGGGCTGGTAGGGGAAAAACAAAGGAGGGTACAATGCTTGATGGAAATGGACTCATTACCTTGCTCATGTAGCTGTAACCCCTCTGTACAGTATCTTTACAATAAAAAATATATATATAATTAAAAAAAGATGATAGGTGGTGGACAGATGGTTCTCTGCCTGTTTAAGAGAAAGTTGGACTTTGATACTAGAAGCCAGAAAGGATTGGTGGAAGAAAAGACGGTGCAGCCTGGATTAGGGTAGCTAGGGAGAAGCAATACAAGATATGAAAACAAGCAGAACAAAGAACATTCTGAAGAGTGCTTAATTGAAGTGATAAAGTGAAAATTTTAGATTTGTTGAAAAGCCGAGGTCTTTAGCAGAAATTAAGTAGCATTAAGGAAAACGGAATCAAATTTCCACAGTTCAGTCCTGCACTCTATGCAAACTGAGCATGTGTAATGTTTGCTTAATGGTAGTCTCTTTGGAGTCAGATTCCTGAAGTTACCAAGGATCAACTGTATCCATTCTCACAGGGTTGAAGCCCACTGTACTCTGAGATAACACGGTTGATTGACCGATCATATGGTTTTCATTCCCTACTCTTTTTTTTCTTTTCTGGTGCTGGTCCTGGGTCTTGGGCACTGTCTCTGAGCTTCTTTTGTTCAAGGGTGGCACTCTATCACTTAAGCCACAGATCCACTGATAGCTTTTTGGTAGCTCATTGCAGGTAAGAGCTTCACAGACTTTCTTGCCCACGCTGGCTTCAAACTCCGATCCTCAGATCTCAGCCTGCTAAGTAGCTAGGATGGCAGGTGTGAGCCTCTGATGCCCACCCTAGTTCCTTGCTCTTGTTTACTTCAGCCTTCAAAATAAAATTTGGGAATTTTTCTTAAAAACAAAATAAAACAAAGGACTCTCTGGCACAGAACAAACAATAAGTGAACTCTGGCTGAATCCAGAGTAATAATAATAATAAAAGAGCTCTTACCAAGTGGAAGCCTGGAGGACTGTTTTACTGATCAGTTCAGCTTCATCTTACGAGTACTCTCAATCCTGTAATTTAGCAGCTGGCTATTCCTGACCTATTTCACCTCCATCTTTTCAACACTAACTCAAGAATTCTGTTCTAAATTCTTTTTCTTGTCTTACTCTGCTTCTTCCTCAGTGTAGGACTTCATCCCATTCCAAAAGCTGTATGTCAATGACTCCTACTCAATCCTGGTATGGGAAGTCAAGTCAGGGTCCAGGGCTGAGCAAAGCTTCAGGCCTCTGTGACTCAACTCATATTTAGGGGCTAAGAGGTTAGGAGATATATCTAATTTTTCCCCCCATTCCTGGGGCTTGAACTAGGACTTGGGCACTGTCCTGGAGCTTCTTTTGCTCAAGGCTGTAGCACTCTACCACTTGAGCCACAACACCACTTCTGGCTTTTTCTGTTTATATGGTACTGAGGAATCGAACCCAGGGCTTCATGCATGCTAGGCAAGCACTCTACCACTAAGCCACATTCCCAGCTAGATCTACCTAATTTTGACCTCATTGTCCCCCTACATACAACCTACTGTGTTTTCTGAATATACTACAACTCATTTGACCCAAGGCTTTTGCTATTAAGAGTTGGACTGTGTCAGTTTCAAAAGTAACCTTCTCTTAGGCCACCCAGGCACTAGCCAATGAAGTCAAATATCCAGGAAGCACTAGGTCCCTCCCACTGCCCAGAGCTGGGGTTAGCTAAATGAATGACCTTCCCAATCCATCCCACAGCACTGCCTGGGGCAGTGAAGGGTTCACCACTGTAGAAACTGTCAGAATGTTTCCCAATTTTATGCCTCCCTACCCAGCTCTGTGTTTATGTGTGGACTGACTCAGGATGACCTCAGAGTGATGCCTTCTGTCCTTACATCCACCTGTTCCTGTTAATAGGTATGTCTCTTCATTACTAGTCTTTAAACTCAGTGCGAATCCCGAGAATTCTATAGTCCAAGATAAACTGTGGGGGTGTCTATAGGGCCAGAGAGAAGCAAGGGCAGAGTCTGGCACACTATTACCAAGAACTCTGGGGAATCTTGGCAGTGCCTCTTTGGCCAGAAGTCATCACTGGGGGGCATGAAATGTATTTCAGTGATAGAATGCATGTGTCTACCAGAGTTATATCTCTAAGTTATGTCTCCCCCATTTGTTTGAAACAGGGTCTAATGTCAAAATTGGCTCTGAACCCTTGGGCTCAAGCAATCCTCTTGCTTCAGTCTCTTGAGCAGCCAGAACTATAGGTGCATACCCTTTCCCTACTTCATTTTGCTTTTTGTTGTTGTTGTTGGTTGTGGGGCTTGCACTCAGGGCCTGGATACTGTCCTTGAGTTTTTCCGCTCAAGTCTAACATTCCAACACTTTGAGCCACAGTTCTACTTCTGGTTTTCTGGTGGTTAATTGGAGATACTGATCTCATGGACTTTCCTGCCTGGGCTGACTTCGAACCATGATGCTCAGATCTCAGCCTCCTGAGTAGCTTGGATTATAGGCATGAGTCACTGGTGCCCAGCCATCTTTGCTTTTTATATCAAGAGCTGTCTTTCTCAGAATACAGCGTATCTGGGCTAGAAGTGTGGCTCAGTGTAGAGTGAAGCCCTGGATTCGATTCCTCAGTACCATATAAACAGAAAAAACCAAAGTGGTGCTGTGGTTCAAGTGGTAGAGTGCTAGTCTTGAGCAAAAGAAGCTCAGGAACAGTACCCAAGCTCTGAGTTCAAGCCCCAAGACTGGAAAAAAACAAAAAAGAATAGAGTGTACTTTTTGTCACTTTCTTCTTAGGGTTGACTACACAGGGTCTAACCTACTCCTAGAGCTGGCGCTTGAGGAAAGAAACAGAGGAGTGTGGAGACTGTAACACTGTGTACTTAAGATACTGAAAATGAATGTCTCAGTTGCTCAGGGGAATCTGGGTTTAGGAAGTTCCCTGTCTTCAATAAAACACTGTGCCAGTACTGTAGCTGTCAGACTGTCTTTTTCAACCTTGCCACAAAGTAGAGCTGATCCCAAAGGACAGAAAGAAGGAGTCTGGGAGGAAACCTTAAGTGGAAAAGGCTGGCTGCAGGAATAGTAGGGAGAAGAGGCTTGCAAAGAGACGTGACTTGGTCTCATTCTTCAAAAATACACAGGCTTAAAAAATGCTGGGACCAGGACCCACCTGTGTTCCCACCCCCTTTCCCACAGTCTTGGGAAAGCCTTGAACAGGAACAAGGTGAAGCCCACAGCATTCCAGATCTACTTACCTCAAGCCCATGCCCAAATGCTTTATCAGGTTGCTTAAGGAGATGTCCCTTGCTTGAAGGGGTTTCCTTTTCTCTGTAAACTCGTGAGCCAAGCAGATGCGCCAGCCATAGGGAGGCACTTGGTAGCCTCTAGCTTTGCCCTCATAGGAGGCCATCAGCTGCCCAGTGTCTTCTGGATGGCAGTATCCTGGCTCATGTGGGGGTCGACTGTCATCAGGACTCTCACAGCCTGTAACCTGCACAGCTTCACTGCTTGCGGTCTCTTCAGGATAATAAACCTGTGGATCTCCTTTGGCACAGTTGCTCTGCTCCGAGGCTGGGATGCCAGTTCCCATGTTCGATGATTCCTGGGTCCCCGCGACCTTAATGGCCCCGGGTACCCAGCCCTCTGAAACAAAGTATCTCGCCAATCGAAACCAAATGTGGGCACCAGTTATACTTAGGTGCCGTCCCAGAGGGCCAGGCGCTGGGACAAGATGAGGTGAGCTGGGGTCTCGGGAGAGGCGGGGAATTCTTGCTGCAGCGGAGACGACGACAGCAATGAAGCCTCTCGGGGCTCCTCCACCGTAGTGTCTCCAGAGCCTGGGCGGGAAGGGCTGGGCCTTGTCGTCATTGGGCCTCGGCGATTAGCAAGCCGGGCCTGGGGCCGACCGGCCCCGCGGAGGAGGGAGGAGCCACGGGACCTGTCCTCAACGCCCCGCCCCCGGGACCGGCGCGCGAGGCCCCGCCCCCGGGACCGGCCCGGGAGCTCCCTGCGTCCGCGGCCCCGCCCCTGGGCCGACGCATCGGGCCGCTCCAGGGTTAGGCTTCGCGTCCTGCCGGCCCGGGGCAGCGCCTGCTCCCTGGTACTGGCCCGTAAGGAAGTGTGGCTCACGGCCCCGGGAAGACCCGGACCCTTTCTGGTCCGGCCAGATGGGAGCTTCCGGCCGGAAGGGGCTCCTGGGCGGGGCGGGGAGGGGACGGAGAGGAAGTCCCGCCTCTTACCACTCCACCGAAGCCTCGGACGCGGCTGCGCACCTAACCCAGTCCTGAGGGGTAGGCAGGCGAGGGTCTCCGGATGCTGAGACTCCGGGCTCCCACGGTGCCAGGTGACAGACGGCGGTGAACTTGGGCTGGGACGTGGCGCCTTGAGGGAAGTGGGGGCGAAGGTCGGCTTGGGAGCTCGAGATGGGGGTGGGGGGCTCAGGAGGACTCAGCCTCGCGCTGGAGCGGTGGGAGTCCGGGGGGCCGAGCAGCACCCCCCCTAGGCAGTACCGAGCCTGCAGACCCCAGTCCTCCACACACACTCATACCTACCTGTCGGATCATCAAACCTGGGTGATGCTGTCGCCACTGGCCGCCCTTCTCCTCACAGAAAAGCCCCATCTCTTGGCCGCTGGAGCCCAATTCTAGACATACCTCTAGGTGCGCGCCGCCAACACCCCTTCCTCCCTGCCTCAGTGCTGATCTCGAATCCCTGTTTCCGTCTAGATCGGATTTGGGAGCTGCCATGATTGAAGTGGTAGCGGAGCTGAGCCGGGGTCCGGTGTTTCTGGCAGGGGAGGCGCTGGAGTGTGTGGTTACTGTCACCAACCCCCTCCCCCCGACGGCCACTTCTGCTTCCAGGTGGGGATAATGGTACTGAAGATAGTGATCCCTCTGGGGAGGAAGTCTAGTATTTCTTTTTTTTTTTGGAATATAATTTTCAGATGTGATTTTATTTATTTTATTTTTTGTGAACATACTGTACAGAGGGGTTACAAATTACATGGGCAGGATAATGCATACATTTCTTACCAAGCATTGCAGCCTCCTCCTTTGTTTACCCTTCACATCCCTTCCCAGCCTCCCCCCCAATCCTTCCCTGCCCCCCATCCCAAGCCTAGTATTTCTGATGCTAAGCCGGAGCTCTGGTTGTCCCCGGAGCTGCACATAACCACTTAAAACCCTTCTTGTGATGACCTCATTAAAGAAAGGGGCTGTGTAACAGAAAATGTGGAAAACGTAACTCTCCTCTCTTTTCCCTTGTTCCCTTTTGTACCCACGGTATATTTTTCTTTGCTTAATGTTTCTCCTTGATTTTTCTGATTGCTTGTATAGCCACCTAACTTGGTTGAGCTTATAAGTGTGGGAGATTAGGAAACCATTTGTGAGGTCAGGAAATACTTTCTGATGTCACCTTATCCTTTTCTACAGTGAAGCTCTGGCCTGGGCCAGTGCCCAGATCCACTGCCAGTTCCATGCCAGTGAGAGCCGTGTAGCATTGCCTCCCCCTGACTCTAGTCAGCCAGATGTCCAACCGGACAGCCAGACTGTCTTTCTGCCACACAGAGGTTTGCAATGGGGCATTCATCTTGTCGGTGAGGGGGAAAGTGGAGCCATTATCACCTTAAAGAACTTAAAGTTAAGTTCTTGTATGTCATAGTCTCTGTCACATCTGGGATGTGGGGGTAGTAACTTCTTTGGGGTTATAAGCCTGTGTTTCTATATCACAAAGCAACAGTTGGCAGACTGTCATTGTCTCTACTTGCTTTGTTAACCGGGGCAGAGCTGGACAAAGGTCATTAAATTACAGTCTTTCCATCTTTTATAGGTGAGAGGGGTCAATGTATCCTTTCTACTCCACCAAAAATTCTATTTTGTGACCTGAGGCTAGACCCTGGAGAGTCCAAATCATGTGAGTGACTATCCTATCCCTGAATTGCCTTTGAAGTCTCCTGGAGGGAGGACTTCTCTGGCTGCATCTAGCTGCCCTGACTATTACTTCCCAACCAGATTCCTACAGTGAAGTGCTGCCCATAGAGGGACCACCCTCCTTTCGGGGTCAGTCAGTCAAGTATGTCTACAAATTGACCATTGGCTGCCAGCGTGTCAACTCACCCATCACTTTACTAAGGGTCCCTTTAAGGGTTCTCGTACTGACTGGTAAGTAGGGTTCCTGCAGGTAAGGATTGGAGGAGGGGTTGCGGGGAAGCTATCAGTCTTAAGGGAGGTGCAAAGGAGTGGAGATAGGAAGGGGTTCAGGAGACTAGGTTGAGACGTAAACCTCAGTTGTGGCTGGCCTTACCTTCAGCCTTCTCAGGTTAGAGTCTAACCTCTGTTTTCATCTCTGTTTCCTCCCAGCATTATCTTTCCACTCATTCTGTCTCTAGGCCTTCAAGATGTCCAGTTTCCCCAAGATGAGGCTGTAGCTCCATCCAGCCCATTCTTGGAAGAGGATGAAGGTGGAAAGAAGGATTCATGGCTGGCTGAGCTGGCTGGGGAGCGCCTCATGGCTGCCACATCCTGCCGCAGCCTCCGTGAGAATTTTTTTTTTTTTTTTTACAGAATTTCCCTACCCTATCCCTCCTCTCAAAATACTCCTGTCTCAGAGATCAGGTTTTCTAACTACCATAAACTCTCATAGACCCACTGATATCTCCCCACTCCTAATTTTAAAGAAAAGCCTCATCTTTTGACTTCTGAGATCCAATCCTAGACATTTCCTAGTATCAACTCTCGGTTTACAAAAATACCTCATTCTCCCTCAGATCTCTACAATATCAGTGATGGCCGAGGGAAAGTTGGGACATTTGGCATCTTCAAATCTGTGTACAGACTCGGCGAGGATGTTGTGGGGACCTTAAACTTGGGGGAAGGAACTGTAGCTTGTTTGCAGGTGAGAAGGGAGCAGACCTTCTGGGGTACTGGGCCTGAAAAACTCCGGTAGAAGGAGGAGTGGGTGGTGGATAGAAGGGGCAAGTTGGCATACAGTCTACATTTCCATATGCCTGCTGGCATGTACTTTTCTTCTTGTTCCCAGTTTTCAGTAAGCTTACAGACTGAAGAACGTGTACAGCCTGAATATCAGCGGCGCCGTGGGACAGGGGGTGCCCCCTCTGTGTCCCATGTGACTCATGCCCGGCACCAGGAATCCTGCCTACATACAACCAGAACCAGCTTTTCTCTCCCTATCCCTCTGAGCTCTACCCCAGGCTTCTGTACTGCCATTGGTGAGATCCTCATTGTAATGGGAGAAAAGGGGAAGGGTTGGGGGGTGGTGAATGTTGCACTCAGGTATGGTGTAATGAGTCCTTACTCCTAATATACTTCCAGACATACCTACATCCAGCCTCTCACCTTTCATCTTTCTCAGACCTTCAGCCTCTACTCTTTCTAAACTCCAACAGCGTTGCAGAACTCTGTCCCCTCCCCTATCTGCTGGGACCCTGTGATGTACCAATCTTTTATATCTAAGCACATTGATGCACTGATGTGTTCTAAGCACATTTACTTAAGAGCTGCTTCATCTTGAGTACTGAGGTTTGAACTCAAGGCCTTGCACTTGCTGGTGCAGGTGCCCTACCACTTGAACCATGCCTCCAGCCCAAGCTACACAGTCTTTACTGTCCTATTCTTGGGCTATTAGGCAGTTAACAAAACTATGCTAAATGTCTTGTGTCTCATCAACACAACAGGTTTTTTTTTTTTTTTCTGTATGTGTGTATGTATTGGTTATGAGGGTTTAAACTAAGGGCCTGGGCACTGTCCCTTAGCTTTTTCTGCTCTGCTACTTGAGCTCCACTTCCAGCTTTTTGGTGGTTTAGAGTTAAGAGGCCCACAGACTTGACTTGACACCTTGATCCTTAGATTTCAGCCTTGTGAGTAGCTAGGATAGGTATGAACCACTAGCATCTGACTCGGATTCCTTCTCTCATTCCTTCCTAAGATTGTAGGTGAGAGGCACTGGCACCCAACAGATTTCTTTCTCTAAGTGTTTTTTTTTGGTCCGGTCGTGAGACCTGAACTCTGGGCCTGGGTGCTGTCCCTCAGCTCTTCAGTTCAAGGCTAGCGCTCTACCACTTGAGCCACAGCACCACTTCCGGCTTTTTTTTCCTGCTTATGTGGTGCTGAGGAATTGAACCCAGGGCCTCAAGCACACAAGATAAGCGCTCTACCACTGAGCCACCTTCCCAGCCCTCTCTAAGTGTTTTTAATTACAGCTCCATAATAGCTCCCTTACCTATGACTTTTCTTCCCAAATACGAGTTAATTTTAGTTTTATTCCATTTTGCCTTTTTTTTCTTTTCTCTTTTCCTTCCTTCCTTTATTTTTCTTTTTTCCTTCTTCTCCTTTTTTTTTTAAATTAAATTTTGGACTCAGGGCTTCACACTGGCTAGGTAAGCCCTCTGACAGTGGAGATACATCTTCAGACCGTTTTGCTTGAGGTTATTTTTTAAATACGGTCTTGCTTTTTGCCTAAGCTGTTCTGGAACCATGATCCTCCTACATATGCCTTCCACATAGCTGGGATTTCCGGCATTTACCACTATGCCTGGCTTATTTTTTTAGATAGGGGCATCTCACTAAGTTTGTCCAGGCTGGCCCCAAACTATGATCTTCCTGATGGCCATATCCAGCTCCTGGTTGTGAGCCACTATACCTGGCAACTCCTAATACCACTGCCTCTTATCTTTTGGTTTCACAGTGTCCCTGAAGTGGCGATTACATTTTGAATTTGTAACATCTCGAGAACCAGGATTGGTACTCCTGCCCCCTATGGAACAGCCTGAACCTGCTACCTGGACAGGTCCTGAGCAAGTGCCTGTAGACACCTTCAGCTGGGATCTCCCCATTAAGGTGCTGCCTACCAGCCCCACTCTGGCCTCATATGCTGCCCCAGGCCCCAGCACCAGCACCATAACCATCTGAAATCAGTCCACCTGCCCACTGTGACACTAGCGTCTTCAGGATACTCAGAACTCAGCACCTGGACTCTACTGGGGCCCACTTTTCCCACCGGGGCCCATTGGGACAGAGAATGACAGGCTTTCCAGGCTGTAGTATTAATTTATTTATTCAGAATAAATTGGCAGCTGCTAGTGGTTTCCCTGGAAGTGGCAGCAGCAGTGAGCAGTCAGCAAATGGTGATCAGTTGAGTTTAGCTAGAGTGGGAAGCAGGAGCTCCAGGAACAGGGGTGTTGGCTGAGCCCCACTCTAGGTCGGGCCCTCCCCCCTTGCAGGGCAGCTGAGGGTCAGATTTCTGCACCAGGGAGAAGTGGCAGGTTCCTGCCTCCTGACGCACCTCACACCCAGCAGGAAAGTCAATGGGATGCTGAGACCTGGGGAGAGCCAGGGATGGGGGAGAACACAGTGAAGAGGCCCTCTTGGGGACCCATGTTCCCTCTCTCAGCCACCCTCCCTCCTCCTCTGTGTCTCCTGACCCCTCCCCCAACTAAGATCTTACCTATCAGATAAGGACTTCTGTGTTTTTACCCTCCAGATCTACCTTGAATTCCCACACTCTGTGGTCTGATCTACTTTGAATTCCTCTCACTCTCCTTGGCACTTGGGGTCCAGCCAGTCTCATGCTGCTCTTCTCTTAATTTTTATCTCACAGCAATCTAGTCACTCCCTGGCCATCCTTCCATAACTCACATCACAGTCATTCCCTCTGGCCATGCTTGGTCACTCACGTGTCACAGCAGCCCACACCAACAGGATGCAGACAGGTGCAATGGAAGCAGTCCTTGCGGAGCCAGGACTCACCCAGGGTGAAGTATTTCCCCTCATAGTGACAGGGGGCTAGGGAAGAATGAGAAACATTGGTGGGTATGGGAGCGGTGGCAACAGTCTCTTCCTCTGGTCAGGGGAGGGAGTTAGTACATATTATCTCCTTAAGTTGACCTTCTTTCCTGTTTCACAGCTCAAGCTATTCTGAAACAGGTTCATCTCTAAGCCCTTGTCCCTTTCTCTGCCCGACCCCACCCCAATCCTTTCGTAATACCTTGCCCCACTTTACCTTGAGCTTGGAAGAAACACTTGCTGTGGACTCCTGGATGCTGAAGAAGCAGAGACACCACCAAGCAGATGATCCCCCAGCCTCCCAGGATCCCCTTGGCCTGTCCAGCCCAGAGCATCCTTAGGGCCATTGTCTTCAGCCCTGTCAGATTCTTCTTGGCTTCTTCCGCTGCTGCTGCTCTGTTCTTGTATTCTGGACTTGTCCCCTGGCTTTTCTTTGCTCCTTGAGTTGTTAGTGTCTCTTTCTTTCTCTCCCCCTCTGGCCTTCTGTCTCACACCATCTCTATGCCCCTCTGCTCTCATAGGCTGGGGATGTTTATAAAGTGAGGACCCTGGCCCCCTGCTGAGTAGAGCTGGAAGCCCTACAACTCTGTTTCCTGAGGTGAGGGCATGAAAACAAGAGGTCCAGCTTTTTAACAAGCTGTGAGAGCTGATTCATACCCAGCACTGCAAGAGCCGGGAGGGGAGGGAGGTGCCTGTGGAAGGGGTGCTGGACTGGGCACTTCCCCAGCAAGGAGGTGGGAGGGGTGAGGCCCCAGGTGGTCCCCAGAGCTTCTCCTTGACCTGGAAAGAGGAAGCATTCCACCAAACCCTCCTTCCCCTGTTTCCCCACCCCTACCCCCACCCCCCCAGTCCCTCACTACCACCACTAGTGTTGTGTGCTGGGATCCCTGCCTGGACCGGAGGGAGGCATTTCCTGGGGATGGCTAATCCTGTGCCCTAGCCAAACCAAGGAGTTGCAACAGGGTGCAGCGGCCAGAAGCTCCAGGAGAGCGAGGAGCAGGCATCTGTAGTAGAGTGCAAAGTTTCCCTGATACATCTGAGATGCATCAGATACTTCAGAGATGGGGGTGGGAGGGTCATTTTTTTTCCCTCAGATATCCCAGAGATGAACTATCCATTGTCTCATCCCTTGGGTTGTCTCTGCCCCCCCCCTTCAAAAAGGAGCATCTCTAAGTGTCCTCAGTTTCACATGGGTACCTTCTTTCCTCATGATGGAATGAAGAAAGAATTTGTCCTTTGATATCTCCTTTGAGGTACCTACAGGTTCTGGAAGCCATGATGGCTCTACCCTATAGTGACAAACTACTTGAATTCAGATCTTGACTCAACTTACTAGCTATGTGACCTCAGGCAAGTTACTTCACTTCTCTTGTCCTGTTTCCTCATCTATAAATCCAGAATAGTAATGTTTACTCACAAACTTGTTAATGAGGCAGGGGAATGCCCTCTGTACCATCTTTGTTTGGCATATGATCCTCAGAAAATATTAGCCACTGTAGTTGGTACTAAGGTTCACTTAAATAAATGACCTTTTCTCTGAATGACATTGAGCAAGCAACAGCTCTGTGCACAGCTGGGGGCCTCTGCTGGGACTGCTCTCTCCCAACCAACTTCTGACCCTTTGTTCTCATGTTCCAGGTCATCCCTACCAGTTTTGGTTTGGGTCCTTGTATTCTTGAATTCTGAATGTCTGATTTGAGAAATGATGTTGCTGCTAAACCTGCTTTGCCCATGTCAGTACCCTCTCTAAGGTGGGAAGAGGTAGCATTTTCTTATCCACTTAACTTTAGGATACTGTCTGCTTTTTATTTTCTTTCTTTTTTTTTTTCAGTTGTGGGGCCTGAACTCTGGGCCTGGGTGCTGTCTTTGAGCTCTTCAGCTCAAGGCTAGTGCTCTAACACTTGAGCCACAGGGCCACTTCTGGCTTTTTCTGCTTATGTGGTGCTAAGGAATCAAACCTAGGGCCTCATGCATGCAAGGCAAGCACTCTACCACTGAGCCACCTTCCCAGCCCACTGTCTGCTTTTTCTTAAGATTTTTTTTTTTTTTTGGCAGTCCTGGGGCATGATTTCAAAACCTGAATGCTGTCCCTCAGCTGTTTAGCACAAGGCTAGTGCTCTACTACTTGACTTCATAGCTCCACTTCCAGCTTTTTAGTGGTTAATTGTAGACAAGAGTCTCATGACTTTCCTGCTTGGCTGGTTTCAAATAGTGATCTTCAGATCTCAGCCTCCTGAGTAGGATTACATGCATGAGCCAGTAGTACCTGTCCGATACTTTTAAGATTTTTAAAAACATTTTTATAAGCATTAATTGTGCAAAGGGGATTTCACTGGGACATTGCCTTACAAACACACAATATACCTTGATCACTGCTCTCCTTTACTACCCTCCTCTTAAAACAGGCTTCATTGTTCTATTTTTATGCACATAAATAAACTACTTCAATCATGTTCACCCTCATTCACTCTCTCCATTAGCTGTCTCTAGGATTCTGATCCATTTTTTCTGATTCCCATTTACCTGAACTCTCAAGTTCTCTCTTTTGAATACTCTGCTCATTATCTCTGGTACTAAGGCTCCAGTCAAACTGGATTTCTTTCACTTGACCATGTTTCAAAGGCCTCGCTATTGGTGCAGCCATTTCCCTCCTACTCACAGAACATTCTATTTTTCAACCTAAGTCTCCAGTCCCATTTTACTCCAAGACTCCTAGTGCATCAGATACAACTATTTCTAGTAGAATTTTTCAAAGGGCCGTTCTGTCACCTTAATTCAGAAACAACTGCCAGTGCACCTCAACTCCTGGTTGCCTGCCCTCTTCTTAGATACCTTTTCCAGTGGCTAGGTGGATAGCTCTATGGTTAGCTTGAAGCCCTGAATTCCAACCACAGCATAAGAAAAACAAAAACAAAAAGGTACTCTGAGGAGTACCAAGAAACAAAGGAAAGGGCTGGGAGGTGGCTCAGTGGTAGAGTGCTTGCCTTGCATGCCAGAGGCCCTGGGTTCGATTCCTCAGCACCACATAAGCAAAAAGAAAAAAGCCAGAAGTGGCACTGTGGCTCAAGTGGTAAAGCGCTAGCCTTGAGTTGAAGAGCCCAGTCCCAGAGTTCAGACCCCACGACCTGACCCCCCCCACACACACACAAAAACAGAACAAAACAAAACAAAATAAGAAACAAAGGAAAAGCCACAGCAGGTTGGCTGATGTGTTGACTGGAGGCTAGCATAAGATCCCAAAAGTTCCTTCAGTAGTCAGTGGCACTATTGTTCCTGCAATCTGTTGGGCAATTTAGGAAGTAGCCAAGTGAGGGCAGTGGTGTAGGTGGATGTGGGAGAGGCCGTGGGAACATAAGTCATGGTTAGCCTCCTGGACAAGAAATGGGGGTAGTCATTTAAGAGAAAGACTGATGGGCTTCTGAAAAGGTTTGGTTGAACAGGAATCCTCCCAGAAAGTGGGACGGGGAGGCTGCTGCGCGAAGGTGCTGGTTGGGGTGTCATGTAGGTTTGTCAGTGGATAGCCAGTCCTGGGGATGTAGTCATTTGCGCGCGCGCGTAGCTGGGAGCGCGGTGTTGGCGCGCGTGCTGCCAGCGCAAGGACAGGAAAACATCCGCCGGAGGCCGGGCTGGGCGGCGCTCCAGCGGTGCGGGCAGGGGCAGGTGCGCGGGGTGAGGAAGTGAGCGCATTCCGGGCCCCCAGCCGGCTGCCCTCCGGTGAGTCACAGCCGACCCCCACCTGCCTGCCCTCCGTGGCCAGGAAGGAGAATGCAGCTTTTGGGGGACTGCCACCCAGGGAGATTTGGGGTGGGAGCTGAGGTGAGTTGTGGAAGAAGGGGGTCTCTGAGGGGGCTGCTACCCAGACAGCAAGCACTTCAGTGCGGAACACCGAGTCAGCTGAATACAGAAGGTAACTGGAGGACAGGTGGAAGGGATCATCGTGGAGAGAGGGAAAAGGCCCGAAAAGCTTGCATAGAGATGAACGGGGGCTAGGGGAAACAGCAAGATGGGAAGTGAGGCCCACAAAGGGAGAGGAGCAATGCTCATCGGACCAGGAAGGAAATATGCCAAGGTGAGCACACAGGCGGCTCCTGCAAACAGATCCCCAGCAGGAGGGTAAGGTGCCAGAGATGAGGCCTGCCCAGAGGCAGTGAGACAGCAAAGAAGCTTTCCTGGAGTAGTATCAAGAGGTGATTGAGCCCTACCTAGTTTGTGACTAGGTCAACAAAGGCTTTCAATGCCAGGTTGGGAAAGCAATGCCATGGCCTCACTGATACAGTAGGGCCATCTCTGTTAGGAGGAACAGTGAATGTAAGTCAGAACTTGTAGCAGGGCTCCATGCCTATTAGCTTTAAGTTATTCCAGAAGCTGAAATCTGAGGATCGCTGCTACTGGAAGTCTGCAGGAGCAGGAAAGTCTGTGAGATGCTTATCTCCAATAAGTTGCCAAAAAAGCTAGAAGTGGAGGTGGGGCTCAAGTGGTAGAACGTCCAGTCAGTATTTGAGGAGTAAACATTGAAAAACAATGATTTGCTCATTTTATCTATAGTCATTTAAAATTGCATGCTATATTGATCACAATTTTAGGTAATTTTGTTGAGTTTTTTTTTTTTTTTTTAAAGAAAAACGAACAAGGGCTGGGAAGGTGGCTCAGTGGTAGAGCGCTTGCCTTGCATACATGAGGCCCTGGGCTCGATTCCTCAGCACCATGTAAGCAGAAAAAAAAAAGCCGGAAGTGGCACTATGGCTCAAATGGTAGAGCACTAGCCTTGAGCTAAACAGCTGAGGGACAGTGCCCAGGCCCAGAGTTCAGGCCCCACGGCCGGACCCCCCAAAAAAAAAAACGAACAAAAATGGAAAAGTTAGTTGGGTGCTGGAGGCTCATGCCTGTAATCAGGAGGCTGAGATCTGAGGATCATGGTTCAAAGCCAGCACAGGCATAGAAGACTCCTATATCCAATTAACCACCAGAAAACCGGAGTGGCTCAAAGTGGTAGAGTGCTAGCCTTGAGCAAAAGGAGCTCAGCGACAAATCCCTGGGAGGAGGGGAGGGGATTGAACAACTCTGACTCAATATTTAGTGCCAAGTTTCCCTTACTGGCTGTACTGAGTTCTGTGTTATCAGTGTCTCCAATTCTGGTCAGCAATATGGCTCTTCTGTCTTTCCCTTGCTATTTTTCAGTCTTTATTTTTCACTTTAACAGCACCCCTTCCCCTTTAATCTACCCTGTGTATGTTGAACAAAGCAAAACATTTCTTGGAATGAGGCATCCCATTCCATTAGACAGAGACAAGTAAATAACCCGTAATTGTATTTTTGTTAGGGTACTTACTCTCTTGTGTGGATAGGTTTGTAACTAAAGTTTCTAAAAATAAAGCTATTAACAATGGTATTTCTACAACATAACAACCTCACGTTTAAAATAGTATTTGGTACTTGTCAGAGAGATACTAATTATGATTTTTATGATTGGTGCTATCTTGGGCTACAGGCAGTTTACATATATTTATTTTAAATAATGTTTTTAAAGTTCCTTAAACTTTGCAGTTGCCTTTGGTTCCAAATGAGGAAATCTGGGTCAGTTAATGAAAAAAAAGAGCATTTCCTACTTTGGGCCATGTTGCTTTCTCCCATGGTGTTTTTGCCCTAGCTCTGCCTTATTCCCAGTGGCTTTTCCCTTCATTCCTTTTTGCTCTGCTGGGCATCTTTAGAGGAAAACTTCACACTGACTTCCTCCACTATAAATTCGCTCCTTCCTCTCATCTCTACACATCTTTCTGCCAATATACACCACTACTTCTTCACTTTTTTTTTTTTAAGTCCACAACCCTTTCTGGCTGTTTT